ACATGCTGGGATCCCATATGGGCACTTGTTTGTACCCCAGCAGTCCTGCTTCCCATCCGGCTCCCTGCTTATGGCCTGGGAAAACAGTGGAGGACAGCCCAAAGCCTTGGGACCCTGCACCCTCCGTGGGAGACCCTCCGGGCCAGCCTGTACGCATTGATTTTATGTAGCTTTCACTGTGCTTTACACTTCACAAAGTAAACAACATCAGAATGGCTGTCAGAGGCCTCATTTCCTTAATATTACCCCCACTGGCAACAACCTGCTGAGGCGAGAAAAACTTTCCAGCTAGAAAAACTGCTTCTGAGATATGCGAGGGATGAACTTCATGTGGTCACCCTACTGTCATCTTAACTTGAAATCCTTCCTTACTTTTACAACTCATTTTGGTTAAAACAGTCTACCAGTGCACTTATAAAACCTTTGCCTAAGTCAATTGTACATTTTATCTTAAAAAAAGTCAATTTAAATTTACACTTCAATGGAAAGATGTAGAAGAGCACGTTATCTCCTTCAGGAAGTTTTCCTTGAGAGGCTCACAAAAGTAACTCCAGTATGGACTGTACTACTGAAACAGAATCTTGCAATCACTGCCCTGAGAGATCAGGCCCCATAAGGCAGAACACATTAAAAACATCTGTGCTTCCAGTTCAACCTCACAGCAAGCGTCCCTCACCATGTGACTTGTTTATCAGCCATGCCTGGGGTGTTCAGCAGTGCGCTCCGGGCCTGTGCTCAAGGTATCAACTGAAGGCGGGAAGCAGCTGTTTTTGTTTGTATCATTGCAGACATTCCTATCTTGGTAGAAACAGCAGTTCTCCCACTTGAGGGCTGCTTTCTGATTTCCATTTTAAAAAATATTTATTTTTATATTGGAAATTTTACAGAGAAAAGGAAAGAAGACAATGAGAAAGCTCTTTCATCCACTGACCCACTCCCCAGATGACTGCACCAACTCAAGCTAATTTTTTTCGGGGGTCTCCCACATGGGTGCAGGGTCCCAAGATGGTGGGCCATCCTCTACTGCTTTCCTTGGCCACAAGCAAGGAGCTGGTGGAGCAGCGGGGACAGGAACCGATGTCCATTTGTGATGCTGGCATTTATAGGCGGAGGATTAACCACTTGAGTCAATGCGTTAACCCTGACTACTTCAATTCTTATACACGCTGGAAATAGTCTTGTGTTTGGCCTTCGTGTTTTGATGCTTAGTTTTTAAATGATTAGCTAATTGGAACAGGTTTACAATCTCATTATCTAATAACCAATGTGTACTTAGGGTAAACTCAATGTTAGCCAGTTATTGGAGCTGACACTGTGGCACAGTAAGTTAAGCCACTGCTTAGGACACTCACAGCCCATATCGAGGTGCTGGGTCAAGTCCTGACTACTTCTTACTTCCCATCCAGGTTCCTGCTAATGTGCACGGGAGGAAGTAGATGTTAGTCTGAATGCTGGGGTTGGTGACACTCACACTGGAGACCGGATGGAATTCCTGGCTCCCGGCTTTGGCTTGACCTAGTTGAGGCTGTTGCTCAGAGTAACCCCATGGATAGAGTATCACCCTTCTTCTCTTGGTCATTTTGGTCCTCATTTTGCTTTCCAAAATAAATAATAATTTAAAAGACCCCCAAAATAGAATTCCTCATAAGCAACGAGTATAGTCAGCTTGTTTCCTGATCTGCTCGGCCACTGGTGTTTCACCTTGTAAGTGTGGTTGCTGAAGAGTCAGCCTGGCCGGTAAGGTTGGCTTGTTCTTGTGTTTTTAGCACTATCCCCACCATCTTATGCCTGACGCTCCAACTTAAAGATTATTCACACAATATCCTTAATGAGATACAGATGTTGCAACATGCCACCGCTTGTTACTAGTGCATGAAAGAAATCTCCTCCACTGCGCTGTCTCCTGCTGCCCTTCCACCCTACACACTGTGCAACTGCCCATAAACAGGCTAGCCCGAGTCAAAGCCAGGAACTCCTTCCAGGTCTACCATGTGCACGAAATGGGCCCAAACACCTGGGCTGCTTCCTGCTGCTTTTCCCAGGTCATCAGTAGGGAGCTGGATCAGAAGCGGAGCAGCCAGAACATGAACCTGTGTCCATAAAGGATGCCAGCATCCCAGGCGGAAGCTTTACCTGCTACATCACAATGTACAACCTCCCCTCCCCCAACTTTCAGTAACGATAAATGCTTGTGGGTAAAACTTCACGGACCTTAGTCCAATGTCATGGACCCTTTGCACCCCACAGGCATTTTCTGTTAGTTCCTGGTGCCAACCTGGAGGTTTTAGAAATAGGCTCCAAGTGCACAATTGGAAAAACCTCAGGCCAGGCCTTGCTCTGCAGGCTGTCTTGGCAAACCTGCTTGTTCTGCTGGTCGTTAAGGGCTCTGCTTGTCCTTCAGACACTGGCAGGTGGGTTTCAGGATCTACAGGTCAGGGTTAGCTCACTGTGCCACCTCACTGCCCCTGACACTGCATCTCACTCTGGGATAAGAACATCTCTGAATCTGCAATGGTGGGGTTTCAGCTACTAATGTAGAAAACATATTTATATATGGTTTGGCCTAGAAGCCTTCTTGCATGTTCCTCAGTGACCTTGAGCCTGGAGGACAATGATAATCCATGTGCTAGCTTGTTATTGTTTGTCCTGCTGAGAGTAATGGTTTTTAAAGAATGTGGTTGATGGGAAGACAGGGGCAGTAACAGGGAGAGGAAGGAAGACAAAATTATTATATTCCTCAAATTGTGTGCACAGAAGACACTGAACTTTTAAAAAACGCTAATTACAGAGTGTAAATTCTGTGAATATGGAAACCCATAAATAAATGAAACGAGATGAAAGGGAATCAACTATTTCAAAAGTCACCTTAAGAGAATCACAGACAGCATCAAGATAACACCAGGAAACGGACCTCGGGGACGTTCGATTGGCCAAGGCAAGGAACACTGGCTGCTGCAAGAACTGACCTCAAAATGTCCGGCTTCCCAAAGGACACATTCATCTCTCCTTTCACAGCACACTGCAGCAGGTGAGCCTGCAGGGCTGCCATCTTCAAAGACAGGACTTCAAGGTCGCCCTGGTGAGGGTGAGACCCTGGGGTGGGGGAGGAGAAGGGGGGTGCAGGAGCTAGGGCGCCAGGCGGGAGGATTCAGGAGAGCTGAGGACACCTGCCTTCTCCTAACTGCCTAGTGGGGATCAGATTCCAGTGTGGAAGAGCCCTGTCATCATGCAAATGGTCCGGGGAATGTGATCTGACTATCTGGGAAAGAGAACCTGGCCTTGCAGAGCATCCAGCTGGGCTCTGTCACAGATAACTGTAGTGCGGCAATGGACAGGGCATGCTCAGGCCACAGCTGGAGCACTCCCAGGTCCACTTTAGAAGGGTCTTGGGAAGCTGCCACCCTGCTCCTTGGCCTGCCCTCGGGGAAGGAGCACACCAGTTCCAGCTTTGCGTCTTGCTGTTCCTTGAACAAGTCACCATCTTCCACATCTTCACACTCTGGCACGTGGCTTGAATGTCACGTCCGTCCAGTTCTTGTTAAGATTCTTTCCCAGTCCCTCCCCCACTTCCCTCTAAATCTAGCAAGCTCTTTCTCATCTTCAAAGACCTAGGACAATGTTTACTTCCTCCATGAACTTCTCTCTGGTGACAGAGAATGCAGACAGGTCACCTTCCTTGAACTCCATGCCTGCAGTATGTGACAGCCCAACTGCCGAGTCCAGCAGCCTGTAGCACAACTCCACGGACTGTGTGCGTTCACCTACACACCCGGTCACCGTGAACAGTCCAGATTCTCAAGGATGAGGTCTGAGGTTTCCAGACCTGCCTAGCTAAGCACAGGCCTGGCTCTTGGGTTCAACAACCCGAGAATCAATGGGTGCTCTCTCCTTTCCCATCCCTTCCACATTGTCACCTATCTGGTGTCTTCTAGCTTTGCTGTTTGACTTTTTTTTTTTGTAGTAAAACACATTCAGCAGATCTCTGTAACATTTTCATCTTTCAAAGCTCAAACTCTATAATCATTGAACAGCTCTCCTCTTCCTCTCTCTCCGGGGACCCCTGATAGTAAATTCTTCTACTTCTTGTTTCTGCCATGTGGCCATGTTAAACATGCCATCGATTTGGAAGCATGCAGTATTTTATCTGTCTTCATGTGACTGGAATATGTCACAGAAATGTTTCCCTCCATGTTGCAGACTTCTGTCTTTAAAAATGGGTTACTATTCTATTTAATGCATGTAAGGAGTTATTCGAATATCCCACCCTGGACCTGGTGCCATTTCCTCTTCCTCACAGCTCACGAAATTCGCCTCCAGTCTAGTCGACCACGAATCACACGTAACCCAGCATCTCACCTGAGAATCCCACCCCCAACCTTCCAGCCCCTTCCCCAGCTCCGCCTGCTTACCAATCATGCTTGGGCACCAATCCCCAGGGCCTGCCCTCAATCCCTCCCAATCCTCCTCCCACACCTTGCAGGCCCACCTGAGTGACAAAAAGGCCCCCAGGTGCGGCTCTGTCTCTCCTCCTTCCTGCCTGCCACCTCTTCCTCCCCTTCCTCCTCGCCTCACCACTATCCCTTGCTGTTCCTTCCCGGCTGGAATAAACCTCCTGACATACCTCGTGGCGTCTGGTGTTTTCAGCTCACGGTAAGAACCAGGTTGCGGGAATTAGCTGTGCGTAATAATATCATAATAATATCGTAATATTTGTTTGTTTCCTCTTGACTCCAAAGGTGATCCAGGAGGCTTGCGAGCTTCCTGACAGTGGAGATTCTACTGGATTGAAGCGCACCCGATCTGAGCATGAGACACCACAGCGCTACTTTCCACAGAGCAGCAAGGAGCCCCTAAGAAAAAGCTGTTGTATTTCCAACAGCTTCTTACCTTGGTCTTGGCACTACCCAGCCCAGTGCGTCCTGTGTCATGCCCTCAGAGCAGCTTTATGTGGAAAAGACACGACCTCATTTTAAAGGAAGACAAAGCCGGTACACAGAAGGATGCACAAGAATTCCTCCAATCCAGAGAACTGGTAAGCGTGGGCGTGCTGGGGGCTCTGCTGAGCCCCAGCCTGGGGAGCTCCCAGCTGATTTCCGGCCTCAGCAGGCATCCCGCGCTCACTTGCTGGAGATAACTTGAAGCCCCTTAGGGAACTCCATAACCTTCAGGCCCGCGCGCTATTCCGGAGGAATCTACAGTCTCCCGCATTCACACGACAATTATTTCTCTTCTGGGTTCTGCGGAACTATCATGGGTAGGGGTGGGGGTGGGGAACACGGGCAAACTTCCCCGTCAACAGCCGCTCGGGCGCCACTGCCCTTCAGAGGAGCGAACATGCTCCAAAGCCCCTCGCATCTCAGCCCTCGCACCCCCCACCCCAAAATCTGTCCAGTGAAGCTTGAAACAGTTCCTAATCTCCTTGCAGCCACAGGAGAGAATTAATCAGTGTGGGAACAAAGAGCCCCTTTTCTGCGACCGCCTGAATGTGGCTTTTATTCCCCTGTCCCACACCACCACCACCACCAGGGTGACTTTAGAAAACAGCTGTAGACCGTGTGGACAAACGACCGAGCGGCCGACGTGGTCAAACCCTGTGGGCCGGGCCACCGGGGGGGACTGGCGGCCGGCGCGGCCAACTGGCGCGCGTCCCCGGCGTCCCCGGGACGGCGGGAAGAGGGGGTGGCCTCTGGGTGTCCCAGGGCTGCCAAGCTGAGGCGGGCGCGCGGGGCGGCGGGGAGCGCGTCCCCTCACCCCAACCCCCCGGGAACCGGCACGCGCTGCGCCCGGAGGGGGCGGAGGCCCCGGTGGCTTCCCTACCAGCTCTTGGCCCGGAGGAGGAGGAGGAAAAGGAGGAGGAGCAGCAGCCTGAGAGGAGGAGGAGGCGGAGGAGGCGGCGCAGCTGGCCCGCGGGAGGCGCGGCCAACAGCAGGCACCAGAACGGCCCGCACCCGGCGGCGGTAGCGGCGGTGCCTCGCGGTGTTGGTGGCCCGGGATGTCCCCGGGCACTTCCTGACAGAGGGCTGCGCGCGCACCGCACACCCCCGACCCGCTCGTCTCCAGCCCCAACCCCGGCCCTGGCTGCGGCTCGCCGCGCGGCCCGGCGCTGCGTCGGCCGCGCCCGCGGTGGAGACGGTGCACGAGGGGCCGCGGAGGGGATGAGCTGACTGCGGGTCGACACGCCACCGGGCCCCGAGACGCCGTGAGCAGCCGCGCCCCTCTCCCCGTTGCGCCGCCCTGCCCGGCGCCTGGAGATCATGTACGTAGCGCGTGGCCGTCCTGCCATTGTCTCTGCCGGCGCGCGTGCCGTGCGCCCCTGGGGGACTCGTGCCCACCCCGACCGCGCCCCATGCTTCCTGCTCCCGGGGCCGACCGAGAGGGGAGGAGGCGCTGGACGCTGACCCCCTCTTCCTCTCTGCCCTCGGCCCGCTCTGCCCATGCAGGTCCATCCACATCGTGGCGCTGGGGAACGAGGGGGACACGTTCCACCAGGACAACCGGCCCTCGGGGCTCATCCGCACCTACCTGGGGAGGAGCCCGCTGGTCTCGGGGGACGAAAGCAGCTTGCTGCTGAACGCGGCCGGCACGGTCGCGCGTCCCGTGTTCACCGAGTACCAGGCCAGCGCGTTTGGAAACGTCAGGCTCGTGGTCCACGACTGCCCCGTCTGGGTAAGGGGAGTCAGCTGCCCGTGCTGAGACCCTAGGGGCTTCTTTTCTCCCCCACCACCTCTCTTTTCCCACTTTGCGTGACTGTGGCGGCGGGTCTGCATTCCTAGGCTGCACTTTGGGAGCAAGTGGAGCGGGGAGGCTTGGTTTCAGTGGGTGGGGTGGGGTCGGGTGGGAGCACCCCGAGCGCGCTCTGAGGATGGAGAGCCTTGGCTTTGCCACTGGGGACGAGCCCAGCTCGGGGGTGCGGAGTGCCCGTGTGGGCAGCGGCAGAGGGCAGTGATTGCCATCTCCAGCCCGCTGGGCTGTGGGTAATATCGGTGTTCTAAAAATACAACCCTCGCCACGCAAAAATACTTGGCCCCAGGACGGTTCAGAAATAGGACCCCTGGCGAGGGGCGGGGGAGGGGAATTAATTATAGCCCTTTCTCCCCCAGCGCTCCAAACTTCTGCCATTCCCCGCTACTGTTTTTAATCTTAGTCATTGCAAATACTCTTCATCCGTTAGCCATCTGCTCTTGGGGTGACTCCGGTACCAGACAGGGAATTACTGTCACTGGGAATTTATTTATTTATTTTTTAATCTTTAGAATCTGGGATCAGTCAGTTGAAATTTCAACTGTAGCCTGATGTGTGAGGGCTGGACCCAAGGAGAAAGGGGCCTACCGCTTCTCAAACACAGACATTTTAAAAATTCACAATAGCATTAGATGGTTAGTGTTTTCATCTTATTGGAACATGGGGAGTTGCTTGTATTTCTTCTAGAAACCACGGTTTCTGACAAAAGAATACTTTGTATCAGGAACAGAAAGTCCCAATGATGGTGTGAGATTTTACCCGTAAAACTAGACCAGGCCAATAGGGAACTCACACACCTTTCTTGAGAAAGGAGTTGAATGTGTTTGCACGCATGGCACACACCAGCTTCCAAACATGTTTATGGAAGGAAAAGATTACTTTCCTGTGCACAACTTTCAGTTGCAGAAAAGTTATGCTGATCTGCTCAAATAAAGCAAAAACAGGCCTGTGCCATGGGAAGGACGCCCCGCACTGCTTGTGCAGCCCGTGGCCTGCTGTTCGGAGCAAACGTGCAAGAGGAACTCACTGGCTGCTAGCTGCCACTGAGTAATTGCAACCCTTCTGTCATTGTGAAAGATGGGACGGCCCAAAACCTGACTGGTTGACTGCGCACTTGGACCAATATTTGGAGACTAGAGTAAATACATTGCAAGGGGTGGGAAGTGCTGTCAGCTATATTCTGATTTTAAGACTTTTTTTTTTGTAAGCTGAGCTGTTAACCCTTTCCTGTATATGGGCCTTGAGCACGTGTGATCCCATAGTGTGTGGTGAGATGAAATCATTCCAGTGGAGGAGATAGGACTCCTGTGTGGGTGCTTGGGGTGTCATGGCTCATGACACTGGTCACTCCTTGGATTAGACGCTGGTGACACCACGTTTGTAACCTGGGGGGATTTTCTAGGTTGCAATGGCTTTCTGACATAGATGATATTTACAGAGTAATTCGCTATAAGGTGTTTCAGTGTAATCCATCAAAGATAGCCAAAGTTGATGTTCTCAAACAGCTGTGAATCAGAAAATAGCATATAGCAGAGCACGTGGAGCACTGAGTTTGATACCAAGAGGACATGATTCCGGGTCACCATGCAGCCATTTTATCCCTCTTAGACCTTGGTTGGTCATGGTCAGTGCCCTTTGTTACCTTCCTTTCCTTTCAGCCTTAATCTGGACAGTCATTGAGAACCTTGTTCCCTAGAACTGTGCTTTATAAAGGAAGTAGGAAAAGTCAAGTTCTAAGTGTAGGGGCCGGCCGCTGCAGAGCTCAAGGCGCCTTAGGACATGTTAGCATTCAGTACGCACTTTGCAGCCCTACAATCAAGCAGAAATTCAGATTAAAAAAAAAAAGAAACGAATTCAGTTCTCCAAATGTGGCTCCAAGCCTTGTTGCACAATCTCCCAGAGGAAGTCTTGGAAGTGATTTGCAAGGAGCGGGAGCATATGATTTCCTTCATCATTCTGGAAATCAGTGGGCCATTTGCCCTTTGACACAACTTGAGGTGGAACGTGTTGTCTTGTCCGCGGGTGGCCATGAAGGGGATCTGGCTGCCTGATCCTGGTTCGTTTCTGTAGAGCCTGGTCCTTCGTTGTGTGTTGCTGGTACTTGTCAAACAGACGTGCTTGAGAACTAGTAGAAGCAACTCCTTCCTTGGGCCTCTAACCCACCACATTTTTGTGGAGTTACTCAATATGAACTTCACACTTGTAGTTCTTTTCCTGTTTACCAGAACTATTCTCTGTAAAGCAGTGAGGTCATGCATTTGTTACTTTCTTGTGCAGCATGGTGGGAAGCTCTGATTTGTGTTATAAATTAAAAAGTATGTGTATTCTTCGCATCCCACCCCCACACACATACACAGTGATGCCCACATGTGGTTTTTTTTTTTTTTTTTCATGGTGCTTTTCCTTAAATGCTTCTGTTTCCCTTCCCCCGCCCCATACCTCTCCAGGGACTCTGGAATTTTGAACTATTTATGGAATTTTGAACTATTTGCGACACAAAACAGCTGCCTGTGATTTATTTTCTTGGCGTTCATGCTTACTGTCCTGCTTATGTTTAGGTTTCATCTGACTGTGTTTTTGTGAGAGTCCGTTGTACTTCTCTTAACCCTGGACTTGAGCACTCTGTCGGATACAGCGGGGACTGGATGGATTTTGTGGTTTGGGATTTGGGAATTAGTGGCCCAGCTGTGCTGCAAAGTGCTTGCTTTGTCTCCTGCTGTTCCTGCTTCGCTCCTTTTCTCCATCTCCTTAATACACATCACGAAGTTCAAGCCGTTGCCTTTGGCATGTGTAGTCTCTCTCTCTTCTCTCTCTCTCCACATACACACTTTTTGACTGTTTTAAATTTATTTCAAAATTACTGTGGCCTTCGCACACTTTTCACTAGGCTGTTTGTGCCCGTGAACTCTGCAGTTCTGGGTGCTCTGAGTGCACTTGTACCAGATAAGTGGGCTGGGAATGGTAGGAGGGATGCTGGTGGTCCCTGAGGAACACTCTCTCAGGCAATAGGTGTGCTGTGCACTCCAGGATGCTCCCATCGTAATGGAACAGCCCTGTCCAATAAATCTGCATGGGTTGATTCCAGGGCAGTGAACCCTATTGTAAGCACCTGTTTCAAAGAGCAACCTTCCGTAATCCTGCAGTTTTGGATGTGCTTGCCACCTCTAGCTATCTGTTGCCTTAACCCAATTTAATGACATCAAGACATACATGCCGAAGGCCACATGGAAGGACAAATGGTGATTCATGGTTTACTAGAATATGGGAAGAAGGCTACCTATACATATTTAGTGATGGAATTAAGATACATAATTTCCTTATGCTGGTCTTCACACAGAAACTTTGAAAAACTATAGAAATACAAGGGCACTGAATTTTTAAGGAAGATTTCATATAATAAATTACTTATGGCCTCATCCTGAATATAAATATTGCTAGCGACATCACAGGAGCAAAGGTCTCAGATCTGGAAGGATATGAGCAAATGACATGAACTGCAAACCCTTTCCTGAGCATGAAAACACCTTGCAATTAAAATGCAGCATCTTTCCAAAGGAGGCATATCCCCACCCGACACACACACACACACACACACACACACACACCCCACTGTCTGGAGGATGTATGGATTTTGCAAATATGATTAAAACAGGCAAAACTCCATGGACCTCAAGGGTGGAATGCAAAATATGCTGGCAAAGCCCTGCAGTGTGCGTGCGTATCACAGCTAGTTCTTTGGGGAGTTACTTGCAGCAATGTGCTTGCGTGTAATGCCCTCTTGCTGCGTTGTGTGTGTGTTACGTTGTGTGTGTGTGTGTGTTCATGTTGAAGACAAAGGGCTTGTATTTAATGACAGCTATTTTCAGAAATTCTTTATTTCATCCCCCAAGGATTCTTTAGCTTGTGAAACCACTGCATGATTGCTTAGGCTAGGTGAATGACGCTTCAAAAATGAAGCTGGCAGACTTTTAAACTGCATGTGGTCATTCATTTAAAAGTGTGTTTCTTCTTGTGACAACACCCAAATTCAAATCTAGCAAAAAATGTAAATGTCATTATTCGGGGCACACTTGAGCAGAAGGGCCGAGACTCAAGCCTGCTGTCTGCGTTTTGGCTTAGGACATTTTCGACAGTGACTGGTACACCTCTCGCAATCTGATCGGGACCGCTGACATCATTGTGATCAAGTACAACGTCAATGACAAGTTTTCGTTCCATGAGGTCAAAGATAATTATATTCCAGTGATCAAAAGGGCACTGAATTCGGTTCCAGTGATCATCGCTGCTGTTGGCACCAGGCAAAATGGTAACTATTTCATTTTCTTTCTTCCTTTCTTTTTCTTAGTAATGAGCATGGAGTTACCGTATTCATTTTGGATGGGATAGCTTTATCCTGATTGATAACAGTCGTAGTTTCTAGAAACTAAAATGACTGTGGGTTTGCATGGCGGTTGGGATCGTCTCCTGCTTTGACGTGCTGGTGAGATGGCAAGGAGAGGGCGTGGGCTTCTGCTGCGTGGCTGGAGGGTGCCCGTGTGTCATCTCTCTGGCATTGTCTGGTGGTCATGGCAGCTTTGTTTCTGATGCATGTGAGTTATCGGGCTGACACTGTGCCCCAGAGAGCTCTTGCTGACAGTCTAAAGGTCACCTAGTTGGGAAGGAAAGACAGCAGCCACCCGGGATTTTGGCGTGGGAGCAGGACTTCAGCGAGGGCAGAGTGCCGACCCCGCAGCTGCTGGCCGCGTGCCTGCCAGGTGGATCTGCCTTTGGCCATTGTGTCTGTGGCTGTCAGTTTCTCAGAACTCTCTGACAGATCACAGCGTATCTCATCAGCAAAGCTGCCCTAAAACATTTGCTTCTATTCGTTCTTTTTTTCCTGGCTTTGTCATTGAGGCAGAGCTAAGGAAGGGACCTCAAGGTCGTTAAGAGCACAGCCACTAATACCCTTTGCACACGTACATGCACTTGTCCAAGTATCCACTGGCCACACGTCAAAGGCTGGAACTTTCTCAGCCTTCTAGAAGGCTCCCACGGGCCTCTTCCCAGGTAATAACACCTCTCCTTATGGTAACTGCTAGTCTGACTTAGAACAGCGGAGGGGGGTTTTACCCATTCTTGAACCTCATGCCACTCCAATTACATAATATGTAGCATGTTGTGTTTGGCTAATTTCAGGGAGCACAATGCTTTTGAGATCCGTCTACGCTGTGCTTGTCATTAGTTTATCTTTTGACTGCTGTGTTATTCCATCATGTGTCTTTGCCATTGGTTATTTATCCCTTTTTGATGATGCTGGGGTTGTGTCCCAGGAGCCGGGCTATTGGACGGTAGGGTAGGTATGTGTTTCTCATTAGTAAGTACAAATGAAGTCAACCTGACCCACCCTTAACCCCACATCCCCTCTGCTTCCCTCTGTTTTATTTCTGGTCATGGCTCTTGAAAGTGTTATCCACACTTCCTGAAACCACTTCCTAGTCATTCTTCAGTCTGACTTGTACTTTCACAATGACTCCCAAGTTCACACACACCCAGCCTGGTCAGTCAGGTGCAGCATATTCCAGTCACGGCGCTGTCTTTGAGATGCCTCAGACATGCCTCTGCCCTCTTTTTGTAAAGCTATACTCCCTCTGCCGGCTCTCGAATTCTCTGCCATATGGTTCCCTCCACCTTCCCCCACAGCACAAGTTGTGTCCCAGGTTTTTGTTGTTGTTGTTATTAAGCCCCGCCTTTGCTCTTTACCTAGACCATGAACCTGCCAACCCTGACCTCCCTGGTCCACACCCCAATGACTCTCCAGTCTGGCTCTCTCTTCTGACCCATATATCCACAGTGCCCTGCTTTGGGAAATGGTGCAGAATCATCCAAGCAGAATCCAGCTGGAATCATCCCAGGACAGGCTTTTCTCTGCTACGCGCCATGCCCACTTGGATGCACATTTTAGATATATCTCAAACTCTGTGCCTCTGGATCGCCATTGGATTGCAGATCCTAATCATTTAGTTGTTGGTCATAGTAATATTCCTTTTGGTTTCCTGAAGAGGCAGTTATAGATTTTGTAGGGCCTCAAACTTGCACAGTTGTGGAGATTCTTTCTTTGTTTGTTTTTGCTTTTGTTATTGTTTGGTTTTAATATTTTTTGGAGCATTGCTTATATAGTTGAAAGTGATGTATGCCCATGTAGGCCCGTAGAGGTTCTTTGCAAGGAAAAAAATAAATCATACAATCACAGGTACATTTAGGGGAGCTTTAGAAAGTTTGTAGAAGAATGAAATTGACAAGCTTATCTTGGGGCAAAAAGTTCTGAAAACCATGTGTACTTTTCTTGGTAATTTGCATTTCCATGATCTTTTTTGAAACTGTTAGGCACCACAACATTTACAAAATGTGTGTTACAGAACAGCCAGGCTCTTCTGTGACTTTATCTCTCGGGCTGCTTCATCTTTGATGATGTCATCATGTGGTAGCCACTTTGTCACGTTTTCGGTCAAGTGATGGGGAGGATTGTCCGTGTTCTCCCAGCTCTGGTGTCGCTGGCCTCCTGTACCGGGCAGAGGGCTCATATTGTTGTCCCAGCTCAGCATCCTTTGACCTGAGCTCCGGTCAGTCTGCACCATGGGCAGCAGGAACATTCCTGAAAATCGTTCCTGTGCTAAGGTAGTTAGCAGACACTTAGCTGCATGAGGAAGTGACAGCAAACCACAGGCACTGGCTCCTTCAGGCCAGAATCCCCTTGGCAGCATTCTCAGGAGGCCCCTGGTTACGCCCAACTTACCTGACGCAGGTGAAATGAGTCAGTCTGTGAAGACACAGTGTCATAACCAGATCGAGCTAAAGTGCCTTATGGAAAAAGCCTAAGCCTGTGCAAGACAGCAGATGACCGAGCCGTCCCCGGAAAGGACAGCCGCCCCCTTTGGAAAGGACTCACACACAGAACAGGAAGCCTGGGTGCTGGAACTTTCCAACCTTGTGGTTCACTGGCTCGAAGTCTCCCATCCCAGGTCAACCCTTCTTTCTGAAGTAGATTTCTCTCAGAATAATCGTTCTGGAAAGCAAGCCAGATCAGGGTCCCTGCAGTTTTGGTGGTTCTTCCCAAACTTTCTTCTTGGTCTCCTAAGTTGTATTTTGAAGACTTTCAAACTTTAAAAAATCGAGGAGAATGGGATGTTGAACCCTAAAACTGACAAACACACACCCATAGGCACACACACATGCATGTGGGTTTTTGGTCTGAACTACTGGAGACTAAATTCTGCACAGTATGGGATTTCTCATCCCCTCATCATTTTTGCCTGTCTGATAGCCACTGGGCAGTCACCAGTTAGGACACCGCTTGTCAAATGGTTGACTAGAGTAAGCTTCCGCAGCCTGGCATGGTAGCCTAGTGGCTAAAGTCTTCGCCTTGCATGCATGAGGATCCCATGTGGATGCTGGTGTGTGTCCCAGCTGCTCCACTTCCCATCCAGCTCCCTGGCTGTGGTGTGGGAAAGCAGTGGAGAATGGGCCGAAGTCTTGGGAACCTGCATACATGTGGAAGTCCTGGAAGAAGCTCCTGGCTTCTGATTGGCTCAGCTCCGACTGCTGTAGCCATTTAGGGAGTGAACCAGCGGATGGAAGATCTTTGTCTCTCCTCTCATATATCTTCCTTTCTAATAAAAAAATAAGTAAATCTAAAAAAAAAAAAAAAACACAACAAAAACCTAAACTTCTGTGTACACATATTTATTCTCTACTGAACATTGACATGGAATATCACGAAATCTTTGCAACCCAAATTATTGACAACCACACAATCTGATTATCCAGCCTTGATGATCAGATCTGAGGTCAAGATGGGGCCGAGGTCTTGGGGTGTGTCCTTTGCAATCTCATCTTGTTCCTGGATCTCCAGCCCCTCTAGGTCACCCCTTGGATCCATTACACTTCCCTTAAGGATGTGGCCCATTCTGCATTGGCCTGCTTGCTCCCATGTTGTGCTGTGTAGCTAGTTTTGTTTTCCAGTCATCCTGCCTCTCAAATCTCTTCTAGTTCAGAACATTTCCTGGGTGAGGGTGAGGGGTGAGGGTTGTCTGCGAAGATGCTTTTAGAATAATTGATTCATGGATTTACTTCTTAAAATTTTACATTTTATAATGTATTCCTTTGTTTTCTTTTTAGAAATTTTGATTCATTTTGTATTTTAAACAAAGATTTATTTACTTGGAAAGTTAAAATGGAGAGAGAGGTAACACATATATATCCACTGGTTTACTACCTAAACGGCCACAAAGGCCAAGCTTTGAAATCACAGGGAATCAGGTTGAAATCAGGAGCCAGGAGCTTCTTCCATATCCCCCATGCAGTAAAGGGCCCAAGGGCTTAGGCCATCCTCCTCTGCTTTCCCAGGGACATCAACAGGAAGCTAGATTGGAAGTGGAACAGCTGGGATTTTAATTGACACCCGTTTGGCATGCCAGTACTGCTGGCAGCATCTTTGTGTGCTGTGCCACAGTGCCAGTCCCTTTTCATTTTATTTGAAAGAGACAAAGGCAGGACAATCACTAGATCATGTCCCGAATGTCCGCAGCATCCAGGTTTGAGCCAGGCAATCTGAATCTCCTGTGTGGGTGGAAGGAACATAAGTGCTTGAACCATCATCCACTGACTTCCAGACTCCATCTTAGCAGGAAGCTAGATCGGAAGTAGAGGAGGCAGATCTCCAAACTGGAGTTCCAATGCTGGATGCCAGCATTTGCAATAGCAACGTAAAAACACAGTGCCAGCTCCAAAGCTCTGTCCTATTTCCCGATGGAAGTCATGGGAGGCTTAGTTTATACTCTTCCCGTCCCAGCCCAAGAGGCAGCCATTTCTCCTGGGTCACTGGATCCCTCAAGTGGGTAGTGCTAGTTAGAGACCAAGATCTGATTCTCCAGGGCATCCACTGCTTTGTGTGTTCTTGCTGTTAGAGCTCGCTGCTGGCTGGGGCCAGAGATGATGCATTTTTTAAGTCCTGGGGCTCCGATGTACCCTTACTGCAGTCCAGTGTGTGCATGTCACTTCTATAACTGCGCATGATAGAGGCCTTACCTGAAATACCGGATCCGTCATGACCCAGCCCCCCAACTTCAGGTAGAACCGTGTCAGCACAGTCCCCGTGTCTCGGATCGCAGTCCTACGGAGCTACGGAGGACTTAGTGTCTACACTTAGGTCTGCAAGTCTCAGCCCTCTGCCATTTGGCTTCCATGCTCTGTGTTTCTCCTCTGGGGACACATGCTGACCCCCAGGGCTCTGCAACCCTCTGGGCTTGCTGTGATGTTTCCTACCCATCTGTGGTGCATTGTGGGAGAATCCCTCAGCCTTGCCTCCTCAGCTGACAGATGAGTGCTGCTGTATCTGCTCTGCCTTCTTCGATTGGTTATTTTAATACTTTATCCTATCTAAGAGCTCTAATGATTTCCTTTCATTATTTCCTGCTCTTAGACTACCAACACCAAAAAATGAAACAGAACAATCCTGCCCACTGTTCCCTGGGGCCTGGGAACACACTCAGGGTCTACAGTCCTGGCTGTGGCCCCTGAGCCCCTCCTGCTGGTCTCCCATCAGTGGGGCGCTGCGGAGTGGGCACTTTCGGGTTGCCCTCTGGTCCCAGTGTTGCTGACCGGCCTGTGTTCTCGCTGAACTCTGGCCCGAGGAGATCTGCTCTCAGCAGTTCTGCCCCTCGCTCTGCGTTCAGCCCTCACTTCCCTTCTCTTCCCAACCCCTTCTTCCCTCCTCCCTCTCTCCTTCCTCCCTCCTTTGCTTCCTGGTTTCTGAGATGCAGCAGGGCCAGGTGCACACAGTGCGGGCTACTGCTGCCAGCCCTCGGGAAAACGGACTTGCAGGCAGACCTTTTTTTTTTTTTTCCCACCCAAGCTGTCTGTTCTGGTTCCAGGCCTGTTTCGCACAGCTGCCATCCATGTCACTCTCAACCGCTAAGGCATGCCCTTTTCAGTGAGGCCTTCCCTAGTCCTGCCTCAGTGGAGGTCACTTCCTCTTTGTGCACCTTCACTTCCTCTTTGTGCACCTGTTAGGAGTACAGGCAGCAGTGCTCTGTTATCGATGCCTCTTTATCTCCTTAGTGCATGATGGTGGTGGGTTCTCAGCGGATGTTTCATTCTGTAAGTGAATGAAATGATTTTGTGGATGATCTAAACGCGTGAAAAAAATAATTTTACTAATAAGATAAAATGAATACACCAAGTCAGATGCGATTACAAAAAGCCATCGGAGCTGAACGTGGCTGTTACTTCGAGGCCCCTGACCGTTGCCTTGCTGCGTGCTGGTGATTCTAGAACTCCTTCTAGACTTAGTTCAGCCAGCCCTGTGATGCTCGTCTCTTCCCTTGTTACAGCTGTTGGTGACAAGTGTGACTGTGTGGATGTCTTCATTGTTCCTGGCTCCGAATACATTAACGCTGTGACTAAATATTGAATCTGTCTTTAAAGCAGAGATCTTTTTCCAGAACTTACCTAAAATGAGAAATGAATTCACAGCCTCCTGTTCCCACGGACAAGCATATCCTATCTCTGGGTTATTTTTGAAGCTGTGAGGGTGCCGGGTACATTGCTCAGCTTGCATTTGGGACAAGAATTTCTAACCTTTCAAGCCATGGTAACCCTGTGCCAATCCCCCACCTACCCATCCCCCCACCTACCCATCCCCCCCCTACCCATCCCCCCACCTACCCATCCACCCACCCCCAACCCCCCACCCCAGCTCGCCAGCTGCAGCCTGGTTTGACGGAAATGCCCTTCACAGGAATGCCAGAGCAACCCTGTGTGCGATTGTTTTAAACACCAGGTATTATGAGATAACATGCTAGGGCCGCACGTGAAGGGGCTGCTTAATTCCTGTACTGGTGGTGTGGGTAATACCCACCTGCCCACTCTTAAGAGTGCCCTCTTGTTGCGGATGCCGTTCGTTGTTCTCTCAGTCACCCCCGTGTGCCCGTTGCTGGTTTCTGTTGAGCCGTGTGGCCACTGGTCCCGGTGTCTGCATCCCACTGGCTCTCCCTCGTTCACAGCGTCTATGTACGCTTCTCCTTTCCTGTTTAATTTCAAAGCTCTTTGCATTCACCTTCTTTCCCCTAGAAGAACTACCTTGCACCTGCCCGCTGTGCACCTCGGACCGGGGTAGCTGCGTCACCACCACCGAGGGGATCCAGCTGGCCAAGGAGCTTGGAGCCACCTACCTCGAGCTGCACAGTCTCGACGACTTCTACATCGGGAAGTACTTCGGGGGAGTGGTGAGTCACTGTGGCACTCGGGGTGGCTCTCATTTTAACGACATGATGAGTCTCAACTTGAGACACAGAGTGAGAGGGAAGTAGCCACGGGTGTATCAGAGTAGAGTTAGAGCTTTTGATTTTTTTCTGTCCAGTGTGACATTTTGGAACTTGTCATTTGGTGGCATTTTGGGGTATTCTGTGGCATAAATGTGAATGGCTGTTGTTCACCCCAGAAGCACGTTTACCCGTGACACCTGTGACACGGACTGTCATGGGTGTTTTTGCAGTGTGAGAGCGCAGAGTAGCCTGCACCAGTGGGCCCTGACAGTTCTGTTTTAGGTCCATCTGCCTGCTGAAAAGACCAGCTTTGTTTCCTCGGTGTGCGTGTGCCTCTGCAGGGCGTCCTGTCCATCTTGTCTTGCCCTCGAGCTTGCATCTTCGGAGTGCCAAGTGTGCAGGGCGTGGCTTGGTCCCTGTGCAGGAGCCAGCGTTTGCTCACTTGCACTCAGTCCTGCAGTCATTTGCAGGCTTGTGTTACACGCAGCGGCTGACTGTGGCTCACGGGGACAGGACTGTGGGATGGCAGCCCTGTGAGAGAATAACCATTGCTGACTGAAAGGATGATTTATGGTGGTTTAGACAAGGGACAGTCTGTTCCAGCAGGTATGTTTTCAGCTAGAAAAATTGTCGCTAATGCACACATACACATAGCAATGACATAAAAAAAAATGTGTCATATGTGATGTGGAGTGCAGTGGTCGTGTCAGATATTTCATAGTGTTGTATCTTTCATTGAAATTTCATTCCTGTTTCAGTTGGAGTATTTTATGATTCAAACCTTGAATCAGAAGACAAGTGAAAAAATGAAGAAAAGAAAAATGAGCAGCTCCTTCCACGGAATTAGACCACCTCAGCTTGAACAGCCAGGTCTGTTAGCCGGTGTCTAGACATTCGCGGGTGTGGCTACCCCTCCTCTCTCTCTGCTCGTAGAGTGATGCGCTTCTCAGACTGCGGCCTGTGCTAGATTTCTGGACATTCTGACTCATTTAGCCCAAGGTGGAACCTGGAATTTACTTCTTAAGTAAACTCGCCAGTGATGTTGAAGCCCATGAGATTTGGACCATAGTTTGAGGCGTCTCTTAAGAGTTTGGGCCCCCTTTTTCTTTCCTCAAACAGAGAAAATGCCGGTCCTGAAGGCGGAGGCGTCGCACTACAACGCGGACCTCAACAGCCTGCGGCTGTGCTGCCAGTGTGTGGACGTGGTCTTCTATCACCCGGACCTCAGCGACGTCGTGGAGGCGCACAAGATCGTGCTGTGCGCCGTGAGCCACGTCTTCATGCTGCTCTTCAACGTCAAGAGCCCCGCCGACATCCAGGACGCCAGCATCGTGCGCACCGCCCAGGACCTCTTCGCGGTCACCCGGGACAGCGCGCCCTTCGCGGGCAGCGCGGCCCACGAGGGGGCCGGCAACCCGCCGCTGCGCGTCTGCGTCAAGGACGCCCTCTTCTGCTCTTGCCTCTCCGACATCCTGCGCTTCATTTACTCCGGTACTGCCTGCGGGGGGATGCTGGGGGAGTGGGGCAGGTGGGCATTCCCGCTGGCGGGTGAACATGGTGCAGGTGATGGAGTCCGCCTTCCTCAATGCCTGAAACTAGACCCAGCTCTCTCCCTTTCAGATTGACTTTGGTTCTTTTCCCACCCCAGCCCAAGTTTGTTTGTTTTTTTTTTTTTAATTCTGGCAAAAACACATACTAAACAGTTGACCATCTTGCCCACTTGTCTGCCAGGCCCTCAGCAGCAGGAATATATTCCTGATGGTGGGCAGCTGGCACCACTGCCGCGCTCCATAACTCTGTGATCTTACAGACGGTATCTGTGTAAGCATCAGTCCTTCCTGGCAAGTCCCCAGCCCGAGCTTTGCCCTTCTTGTTTCTGTCTCTGAGATCCTGACCAAGTGCCACACCTGAATTGGAGCTGTAAAGAACCAGTCTCTCTGAGGCAGGCTTGTTTGACGTGGCACCTATTAGAGTCCCATGCCTTCCCTCAAGCTGAGCTGCAGTCCTGGTGTGTCCGACCTGCCTTCTGTTTAGTGACTCATCCATTGGTGGACATCCGTTAGCTGTTGAGAATTGCGCTGCTAGGACCCTGGGTGCAAGAGTGTGTTTTGAAGGCCTGTTTCCAGTTCTTTTTTTTTTTTTTAAGTTAGATATATATATAGAGAGAGGAGAAGAGACAGAGAGAAATATCTTCCATCTAATGATTCACTCCCCAAGTGACTGCAATAGCCAGTGCTGCACCAATCCGAAGTCAGGAGCCAGGAGCTCTTCCCGGTCTCCTACATGGATGCAGGGTCCCAAGGCTTGTCCCATCCTCGACTGCTTTCCCAGGCCACAAACAGGGAGCTGGATGGGAAGTGGGGCTGCCAGGATTAGAACCGGTGCCCATATGGAATCCTGGTGTGTTCAAGGCGAGGACTTTAGCTGCTAGGCCACAGTGCCGGGCCCACCCCCCACCTGTTTCTAGGTCTTTCTGTGTTTACTCAGAGGTGGATTTTCTGGATCTTCTGGTTAATTCTGCTTTGGAAAGGAGCTTCCGGGTTGTTTTTCACGGTTTCCACCGTGGCACATTCCTGCCAACGGTGCACGAGTTTCTCCTTTGTCCAGGTGCTTGCCGACACTTGCTGCTCTCTGGGCTGCGCTGGTAGCCACCTTAGTGGGTGTGAGGTGGTATCCTGTAGCTTGATTTACGCCTCCCTAATAAGAGGTGACTCCTGTTCGTACAGCCACCATTCCCCCAACTGGGGGAGCAGGCCCAGGGGTGAATTCCAGGCACCCTCGTGGAGTCTGTGGGTGCTCCAGTGGCTTCCTCCCCCCGCCGTGGTGGAGGATCACACACACCTCACGATTCAGAATGCAACCTGATTTTGGAAGCACTAAAGTAAACTGTGCTTTCAGTGATTCGTTGGAATGGGAAGGGAATGTTTGACTTGGCAGTGGTTTTAACTGTTGACATTATCTGAATTATTCATCGAGTTCCCCACAACATCCATTGAGGGCTTTCAAAGTACATAAACGTCCTGCAATCAGCTCTACCCTTTGTAATGTGCTGGCAGTAAAATAGCTGGATGTACCTCCATGGACTGAAGCTCCCGGTTCTTGATAAGCAATGATTTTTTTTTTTAATTGAATAATGAATGCACACTAGTAGGAAGAAAAGGGGCTGGGAAGGAGAGGTTTCCCCACGTGCTGGGCCCTCCCCAGTGTCAGTCACCTCGTACAAGTGCTTGAAGCATTTACCCTGCAGCTGCTGCATGGATACTCCCATCCTGGGGATAAAAAGGTCGCCCTGTGTGGTTGCTGTTTTCCAGGGATCTGTCGTCACGTGGCCTGTGGTCTCTGGTCCTACAGTCCTTGCGGGCTGTGCTGGAAGGTCCAGCTCTGTCATGCTGGGCTTCAGAAAGCTCATCTCCAGCGATGCTTGGGGCCAGGCAGAGGAGGCTAGGTGGACATCCGACAAGGAGGCCCTGGTACTTTGGACCTGTGGACACCAGCAGGTTGTCACTGCTGGCCGTCTGTCGCCTAGATCTTCCCCAGCTGCAAGCAGCCCACGTTATTGGGGCTCTTGCTGGTGGTGTACCTGAGAGTGTACCTTTGCTTCTATCGGGTGGCATCACCACCGTGGTGAGAGCTGAGGACCAGCTGCTGCTATTGGGTTTCAAAGCAGAGCCTGGGAGGGGACAAAATCAAGATTGGGTTAAGTGCAGGGCTGAGAGCCAAGGCTGTCAGCCTGTGGATGGTGGAGGCTCAGGACTTGTGTGGGAACGGAAACTTAGAGTGAGTCAGGGAGGAGAGACTGGAGGACAGCAGCGAGAGCCTCTCCAGGTCACGTGAGCAGTTCACAGCCACACCTCTAGGCCTGGCATGAGATTGGCACATTTATGCTCTGATGTCTGCCTGTCTGTCATAGCCCAGGCAGGAGGTGGTGTCGGGTGTGAGCAGGGGTCTAGGGGCTGCAGGAACCATGGCTGCTGGTTGAGGAGGATGTGAAAAAGCTGTTCCTGCTGGGGTCTAATAATTTTCTTTAATTCCTTGCAGATTGTAACCTCTGACTCCTGCAGAAGTTCTGTTTGTTATATTTAAGATGATGTGGAAGGTATACTTACACAGAGAGGACAGTTTGGGGAATTGGAGAGAAGCAGGGTTAGGTGTTTGACATAAAGGGTGAGCGGTGGTCCACTTCCCATGTCAGAGTGCCTAGGATGGAGTCCTGGCTCAGCCTCTCTCTCTCTCTCAAAGAACCTGCCATTCACTGGTTAACTGCCACAAATGACTCCCCAGCTGAAGCCAGCAACAAGGATCTCCATTTGGGAGGAGGTTGGTGGCGTCTACTCCTCTCCCCTCTTGCCTTAGCAGAACAGGCCCACATGTGCAGCTTTGTTCACAGGTGCTTTTCAGTGGGACGAACTGGAGGAAGATATCAGGAAGAAGTTGAAAGATTCTGGAGACGTTTCCAACGTGATCGAGAAAGTCAAATGCATCTTGAAAACCCCGGGGAAGGTGGGTTAGTAGATGAGTTTCTGTTGACTGTAAGTTCTAACGCTTGTGCTATGAAGAATATATTGTTGAGTCCCCGCAGAAGCCGCATGATATATGAATAGAAATGCCTGCCCGAAGTGTGTCCCTGCCATTTGGGTATTTTAAGTGTGAGCATGTGTTGTGCCTCACTTTTGCAGAGCTTAATTTATGTAAGAGCTCAGATACGTGCGAGTCATGTCTTCAGAATGTTTATTTGTGAATGCTGTCTTCTGGAACGTTCCAGGAGACACGCACCATGCAAGGAATGGAGGGCTGGGTAACGTTTCCAGCTGCAGTTAGGTTTCTCAGGAAGGATGTTTTTGCGGCTCCCCGTCTCAGCCCACATCGTTTTCCAGAGCAAGGCTGCTGCTCTGTGTCCTGTTTTTCGAGAGGCGCCGTCAGAAGCCGCCCTTTCGCGAGACTTGGGAGAAGCCCGTGTAACCAGGTGGGCAGTGCAGGCTTCGCTCCTTCTCGAGGGCTCCGCGGAGATGAGGTTCAAGGTTATGCAAATACAGACGTGTCCGTGCCCATAAGCTCCAACACACTCAGGCTGCTCTGACTTAGTCTGTGTGTATATCCTGTAAAGGCTTTAAAAGTAGATTTGTTAATTTTTGTTAAAAAGCTTAAGCCTTGCACAGTGTTTGTCTCACATCCCATGAGAAAGATTGGCTGCGGCAGATAAAAAGAGTAGGTTGTGTGCAATGCTTAGCACAAAATAGAAATGTCAGGAAAAAATATTTTCTCATCTCTCTGTACTGATGGCTTGGCCGGCTCGCCAGCCTCGTTCTAAAGGTGATTTAAAAAGCCAAAACCTCCTAGTCACATGAGCTGACTCTTCCTTAATAGAGCAAATGATTTAAAACAAAACAAAAAATGCCATGGCATCGAGGGGGTGGATGGTTTCCAGGCTTCAGGGAGAGGGGCTGGAGCAGCTGTCAGCTGCCCGTGCGGACGGCAGGCCAGCAGGGACCTGGCCGTCTGATTCAGCCGAACCCTCCTTTCGTGAAGGCTCACTTCTCCCTGCATCCTCTTTGCCAAAGCAGGTGCCTTTGTGTTCTGGAGTAGCTCCTTCAAGGACCACTTGATTGACAAGGCGGTACCGTGTCCAGGTGGCTCCAGGCCCAAGCAGAAGTGACCCTGTGCGCTGACTCCCTCTCCCTGGGGTGGTCTGCTTCCCAGGGTCATGCGTGACGCAGAGTGAAATGCTGGTGGTTGGTGTTGATTCTCATGATGGATTACTGATGTTGTGTGTGTTTCTTAGGGCAAAAGCTTTCTGAGTTGTCTGGCAGGTTCTGGCCAGGACCCATGAGCCAAGGGCACAGAGCCATGAGCAATGAGTAAAATGCAGTATTTCAACAAAAGCCCTAAATCAGTTTAAATGAGAAGTTACAGCAACATTCATGTAATAGAAGCTTTCAGTCCTAATCTAGCCTAGTATTTTAAATGATGTAGTAGGTTTCATATTCTAAGCATCTCTGCCTGAATATGATGTTGTTGCGGCTTGTCTTAATATGTCCACTGCATACAAATTAGGACAAGTACAAAGGAAACAAAATTGGGCAGAGGTGTAGGAAATGGAGGCTGGTGCTGGACTGCTGGGGTACCAGCAAGATGGTCATCTGAAAAGCCCAGGAAAGGACAGGCAGGGGCTGGCCTGTGGTGCAGTGGGTGGAGCTGTCGCTATGATGCAGGTCTCCTGTATGAACGTGGGTTCAAGACCTGGCTGCCCTGCTTCTGATCTGGCTTCCTGCTAATGTGCCTGGGAGGGCAGCGGAGAATGGTCCAAGTGCTTGGGCCGCTGACAGTCACCTAGGAGACCTTGTTCCTGGCTCCTGACTTCAGCCAGGCCCAGACCCAGCTGGTGTAGCCATTTAGGGAAGGGAACCAGTAGGTAGAGACCTCTGTGTGTGTTACATCTGCCTGTATGCCTGTCTGTCTGCTTATCTATTTCTACCTCTTCCTTTCTCTCTGTAACTCTGCCTTTCAAATACAATACATTTTTAAAAGAAGTATATTCGGGTGGGAGAGAGACAGGTGTTATTCATTTTGAAAAGTATTAGTTTGGTTTTGCCTTTGTTGTTGGAAAGACAGAGTGCAGAGAGAGAGAGAGAGAGAGGAGGAAATACGGAATCTTGTGTCTTCTGGTTCATTCTCCCAAATGCCCACAGCAGCAGGGACTGGGCCGGGCCAACATCAGGAGTGGGAACTCCATCTCAGGTGGGTGGTAGGAGCCTAAACCCTGGAGCCATCGTCTGCTTTTCCAGGCCCGTTAGTAGGAAAATGGATCAGAAGCGGCATAGCTGGAGCTGAGACGGGCTACAGGCGGCCGAGGCTGTGGCTTCACCCACTGCAGCAAAGCACCTGATCCCGAGAGGTGGTTTAGAGATGCTCACTCCTTTAGAATATGTTGAGCCAGTCAGCAGCAGGAGGGCATGGCATGAGAAGGGAAGATGTGTTTTCTTCTTGATTACAGATGATGTTGCTCTCTGTGCAGTTTCCTTTAAAATGGGTTTTATTTGAAAGGAAGAGCGAGATCTTCCAATTGCTACCGCTGGTGACTATAGCAGCGAGGGCTGGGCCAGACCCAAGCCAGGAAGCCATAACTCAGTCCAGGTCTGCATGCGGGTGGCAGGGACCCAGGTAGCTGAGCTGTTATCTGCTGCTTCCCGGGCAACCACATGGGAACCGGACTAGCTGGGACTGCAAGCACGCGCTCAGACGTGGGGTGCAGGCTCACGAGCAGTGACCTCACCTGTCCCCTGCGTGCTTTTCTGTGATGGACAGAGTAGCTTGTATGTGCAGACATGGGTTGTTAGGCGTTTGTCTGAGGTTGACTAGTCATTCCAGCTGCTCACTGGAGGGTGGAGTGTTCACTCAGACCCTCCTGCCTGCCGGCCATGAGTAGCTCTTGGGCATCTTAGCAGCTGAGTGAGTCAGTGTGAAAGCTGGTCAGAGAGGCCTCAGAGCAGGAAAGCTTTATTATTCCTTTAGACTCCGAGTCCTCAGAGCAGCCCCTGGGTACATTACCATCGTGTTTCTGTTTTTCTGCTAGATTAATTGTCTACGGAACTGCAAAACCTACCAAGCCAAGAAGCCTCTGTGGTTCTACAACACTTCCCTCAAGTTTTTCCTCAACAAACCGATGCTCGCTGACGTGGTCTTTGAAATACAAGGTATGGCTCCGCATTCCTGCCCGTCATTGCTTCATTCCAGCCTGTTGTGCTCACTCTTTCCGCTTGGACCATCTGGGACACAGGAACGACTTCTCTGTTCGGGGACATTCATTACTACTACCCAGATCTCACATCAGATCTTTCAGGGACATGAACTGTAAGAAAACAAGTTGACATTGCCCTTAGCATCATCCGCTCGAACTATGGGCTGCGTTTACTTGGAGGTACCATTGACGGATGTGACCTCAGAGACATCATTATGCAGTGTGCTTGTGTTGTATCTGTATGGTTCTGGTTCTTAATCTCCCTCTGAAACCAGTTCCCTGAAAGCCACGTGACTTCTGACTTCTAGTATTCAACTTGCTCTCCACTAGTTTGGGCACAGGGAGTCTTGGGTCGGGGCTGTGCCCAGCCGGCATCAGGCACCCATGGATCCTGCCACGTTTAGTTTTCGCTGTACTCTGAATGCCATCACCGGAGTGCCAGAGAGCGGCTGCTTATCTCTGGGTGGGGAGCAGGGGGGCGGTGCTGCCCCCCCCCCCGTTTCTTCCCAAGCATCGTCTTCTCACTGGGGTAGATACACACAGTGTTAAAAATGACCTGTCAGAGACCGTCAGTTCGGTTCCAGATCAATCAAGGAGAACTTTGGAAGACAGCTCTCAAGAGAGGGAGGTGCAAGTCTCTAAGTGTTGAATGGATTGCACTATTCTCTGTCTCCAGCAAGATTGGCTTTGCTTTTGACTTTGCTCACCTGCCAAGAGAGTAAGTTGGAGACTTTCCAAAGTTCCCTCTGATAAGCTGTTGTCAGTACAGAGCAGAATGAGCCTGGTACACTGAAATGGCACAGCTGGGGTGACCTTGACTTGTATTTTTATGTGAGAAGAAAGTGAACAGAGGCGCGTCTAAGGAAGGAACAATCAGGATATAGGCAGTTGTTGCCTTGAGTGACAGCTCGCTGGAGCTGCAGATCTACGAACAAAAGGTAGACAGGCCTGTGTTTATGAAAGTCACATAAGACTCACATAACCTCATGCCCAGAATGGTCCCATTTCGGGGAAAATCCATGTTGTCCATGAAGCCCGCTCTCTTTGGTTCCGTTTGTATTGGGAAGAGCAGGCTTCTGTAGGAAACAAGCCGGGGGCTGGGGGTCAGAGCACACTGTGCGCATTGCGGGACAGTCAGGGGAGGGGGGAGGACGGAAGAAAAAGAAAAATCCCTCGGCGACAACCACTAGTAGATTTTGGTGTGCTTGCTTGCTTGGGCAGATCCTTCTTTAAAAATATTCCAGGCCGTCAGCAGCAAGAGTTGACGTGGGATATAAAACCCTGGCACGGTGTATAATTCTTATCATTGGTGGATATCATATTACCATCCCTCAGAATTTGTTTGGGTTTTGTTTTTCAAGTTGCTATGGAAGTTCTAAAATTAATCTTGAAAACTCTTTATGTGGTATAGAGAAATAGGTGCTGAGCCATGCAGTACAGCAGTGGGTGAAGACACCACGTGTGGTACCGGCACCCCGTATGGGGATCCAGCTCTCTGCCGTTGTTCCTAAGGAAACGGCAGAAGATGTCCCACGTGCCTGGGCCCCTGCACCCAGGTGGGAGACACGGAAGAGATGCCTGGCTTCCGGCTAGCCCCGCCGAGGGGAGCGAGCCAGGCAGATGCAAAATGACCTCTGTCTCTCCTCTCTGTGTAACTCTGCCTCCCGAATAAGTAGATTAAAAATAAAAGGAAGGAAAGATAGGTGTTTTCTTTGAGACTTGAATTTGTGTTACAGGAGAATTCCTCTTATAAAATGATACTGCTTTCCTGTCCACTTGTGTAGTGCATAGTCTGACCCTTCCTCGGTTGCACAGTTGTCTTCCCTTGGGATGAAACAAAACACAATTGTAGATGCTTGCTGTTTTGAAATCTGGGATGCATGATGAACGCAGCAGGGCTGGCGTAGAACTATGAAATGTTGGAGTGTTCAGTGAAAACCAAGATCTTTGATAATCTCTCTTAATTGATTAGAAGACTTAGCAGTTCTTTTCCTTAAAATAAGTCATCATTATAATATCAGATACATTAACAAGATGTTCGATTGATACCAGAAAGAGGGTGAGAGATTGTTATCCATCTCTCTCCAAATGCCTGCCGAGGCCTGGGGTTCACCCAGTCCTGGCGAATGGTAAGGATCCCGAGACGTGGGCGCCACCTGCTGCTTCCAAGCTGGAGTCAGGAGCCAGAGCTGAGGCCATGGGATACAGGATGCCAGCATCCCAGCTGGTGACTTAACCATTGCCCCACAGCCAGGGCTGGGGCCTGGCCATGACATTTTCAAAGAGCAGGCATATCTTATGCCTGGAAAATCAGCATCTTCTCCCCGGTTCTTGCCCTGCATGCTAACGCGTTTGTGTCCCTCTGGCATGTGGAAAATGCAGTATGAATGTCACTAGCAGCTATGTGCTGGCTCCACAGTGGAACAATGGTGATGCCAGAGCAGCAGACAGAAGGGAGAAGCAGAAGTGGACATTTCCCTAACTCAACTGTTATATGATTTTCCACTCTAAACCCATGCCGGAAATGGGCACAGAAGCGAGCAGGCTCTGATGTGTGCTTGCCAGCTCTTGCCCTGGCATGGTCCACGGGGATTGCTGTCTCAGCTGTTAGTCACTTTGTACCACAGCCACTGTCCCCAAGTGACCACATACCCATCTCGTCAAGCCACGCTGCTTGCTTTTTATTTTCTTTCTACAAATATTTTAATGATACCCTGTTTACTTTTATGTTCTTGAAGCCTTAAAATTATACTAAGTATATGCAATTATGAGGATATTACAGAAAGTTCATGGAAAAATGAAATTTAAAAGATAACGTTGGCGCAGGTGTCAGGACCAGCAGTGAAGAGGCTGGTTGCAAAACCTCCCTCTGCTGTGGGAGTGCCTGGGTTGGAGTTGCAGCTCTGCCACTAGCCCTCCGTGTCCCTCCCACCTGCCGCTGGGTCACAGCATCCCACCCGTGACTGCCAGCTTGTGCCTGCTCATCCTTGTGACGCCCTGCCAGCCCTACACAGCCGTGCTGCCTGGATGTCAGGTGGACGCAAGATTGCCTGGGGCATGGGGCTGTGGAAACTGTCCCGTATCCCCAGATGCTGTCTTGGTACAGTGGGGCGGGGCCTGGAGGGCCCCCCACGCCCAGAGTCACTTTGCCCTAGGGAACTCCGTGTAGGTCGTAGGCCACGATGTCCTGACCAATCAAAGGGGAGCGCGCGGGCTCTTCCCCGGAGCAGGTGTTTCTTTGGGGGTCGGGACAGCACGCTGGGCAGTGCCCCAGTGTCTGCTGCAGTGCCATGCCCACCGCCATGTGTGAGGGGCTGGTCATGTTAGGGTTCTGTCTGGTGCTGGTGCCCCCACGCTGTGCCTCGCCGGAAGGACCTGTGATACCAGACTGCCAGGTTGTCTCACCTGCAGCTGTTTGTCCCTTTTATGCCCACTGCAGGTACGACGGTGCCCGCCCACAGGGCCATCCTGGTGGCACGCTGTGAGGTGATGGCTGCCATGTTCAATGGTAACTACATGGAAGCCAAGAGCGTCCTGATCCCTGTTTACGGCGTTTCCAAGGAGACGTTCCTGTCGTTCCTAGAGTACCTGTACACAGACGCGTGCTGCCCAGGTGAGCGCCGGCCTGCCCGGCCTGCTGCCTGTCCTTGCGGTAGCTGTCCGTGAGGTCGGCTTCCATTCATGCCTGCTCAGAGCGGCCATCCTGCCCAGGCCAAGCCGCCATCGCTGGAGTCTGGTCGGTGTGCATTGGGTCATTGGGAGACCCGTGACTGGGAGCCCGGGAGGGAGACCCCACGCCCCAGTTGGTGACTGTGGGCACCCTGGAAGTGGAGGCGTCTGCTTTGATTGCTTGTTGACGTGTGTTACACACAAGCTTCTCAGGAACTTTTCCTAAGACGTGGCAGCCCAGTGCAGTGCACTGAATTCCTTCCAAACTCCCTGACCCAGGACTGTGTTTGACTGGGAGCCATAGATGGGAGCCCGGGGTTGGGGGTCCTCCACGAAGAAACGCAGGAACCCCCCGGGCCAGGCGTGGAAGGGAGGCACGGAAGGCCCTGTGATTGGGTTCCACACTGTGATGGCCACCAGGTGGCGCCCCCCACGCGTGCAAGCTGCCTAGCTCAGGCGCCTGAGCAGGTAAGAGAAGGCAGCGTCCTTCTGGGTTCCAGTGCAGGCTCCAGCCCCCATCGCAGCTCTTCCTGCTGATGTGCACAGCCTGGGTCAATGCCGCCCACTGAGGGAGAACTGGGTACAGATGCCCCTAGCTCCCCTTGCAGCCGGGTTCAGCCCATAGCGTTGCAGGCATCTGGGGAGTGAACCAGCAGATGAAGAATTTCTGTCTCCATGCCCTGCCCCCCGGCCACACCACACCGCCCTTTTTTCTGCCTCCCAGCTTACTAGACTGAAGACCTAGGCGGGGTGAGAGCTTGAGGCGGTGGTGCTCGGGAGGCAGGGGTTTTTTTCTCCCCAGGCCTCCTGCTGTGTGCTGGCTGCCCCGCTCTGCACGCCTTCTGCTGGCTGACTATGGCTCTCCTCACGCTCTCGCCCCTGTCTGCTTGCCCCCCACCCGGCAGCTGGCATCTTCCAGGCCATGTGTCTACTCATCTGTGCCGAGATGTACCAGGTGTCCCGGCTGCAGCACATCTGCGAGCTCTTCATCATCACGCAGCTGCAGAGCATGCCCAGCCGCGAGCTGGCCTCCATGAACCTCGACATCGTGGACCTGCTCAAGAAGGCCAAGGTGAGGGGCCCTCCCGGGCTGGCGACCACAAGCACAAAATCCCAAGGAAATTTTCCAATTCTTTTTATTTGTTCATGTGTCTACTTATTTATTTTGACATAACATTATTTAATTGACGTTATAGGCAACATCTTAGTGACCCTGGTACATACATGTCAGCCAAATAAAAAGTAAGGAGGCCGCAGCCCGGCAGGCAGACAGGCAAGGGCTGTATGCCAGTAAGAGGCTCATTTTTACTCATATACTTGTATGCTTCCTATCAGCGTGTTGGGTAAATATTTAAGACCAAATGTGACAAAACACTGTGTTTGCAGCAGAAAGTGACAGGTGTAGGCGTTTCTTCCTTCCCCCTTCTGCTGTCACCTCCTCGCCCCTCCTCTTTTGGCACATTAGGTCCCTCGAGTGAAGGAGATGCAGGGGGGTCTTTGCAGTCCCTAAGGAGGTAGGCTGCACTGACGTGAAATGTCTCCGCCTAGTGGTGACGCCCCCAACCGGCAGTGGCGCTGCTCTGGCTCCCGTGGGCATCATAGGGTCTTAAGTTCACCCCAAAGGAATGGGAAGTGACAGGGTTGGTGCGTGTGCCCACACAGACGGACACGGTTGGCTAGGCTCGGCTGGTCCTTCCTTCGGCGTGCCTGCACTGTGTGGACACACTGCAGTTCTGGTGGTGGAGCAGGTGTGGGGGCATGTCATTAACCCTTGCAAAACACCATCGAGAGGCCTGAGTCACTGCGTGCAGAATGTGGCTTGGCAGGATCTGCGGGAGACCCTGCACTTCTGGGCTTCCCAGTCAGCGCCTCTTTCTGTTTCTGAACTGGGATGTGCCTCATTCTAGGGGACAGACAGACGAGGTTTGCACGGTGATTGTGGGCAACGGCAGTGCCGAGGCCCTAGGGCCTGCAGCTGACAGGAGGCTAGCCAGCTCTGGGGAGCAGCTAGGCATGCTCTGTGGAGGTCTGCTTCCCAACCCCGCATGCAGGCGCAGTGGCGCGTGCATGCGGGCGCCTGCGCTTCTGTGGATGGGGCTTCCTCCCCGACCGGGCAGTTGCACTGTGACATGTTAGTGAGGGTCCCTTCTGCCCAGCCCGGCTCCTGACGGGAAGGGGCCATGCAGTGTCTCCCATTGCTTCTCTTGCAGTTCCACCACTCGGACTGCCTTTCTGCCTGGCTGCTTCATTTCATCGCCACCAACTACCTCATCTTCAGCCAGAAGCCTGAATTTCAGGATCTTTCAGGTACACTGCCTGTCTCTCTTCTGGAAAAAACAAACAGAAGACACCTGGATGTTCTTGGCTGTTGTTGCATATGTTTCTTGGTAGAAATGATCGTTTTAACAAAATGAGCAGAGTCCATGTAATCCGTCCTTTTCAATTATGCAGTGTGGTAACTCAGGACTTTAACTTACAGCCAGCTTGTGTTCTAGTGTTAAGCTGCACTGTGTTACACAGGAAGTTTTCTAATGACTGTGCTATAGCAGCTATCCATATTTAAATGTTATTTTTTAAATCAGAAATAGATAAGGTGGCCAAGTATGTCTTCAGGTGGCATTAGTTTGTGGTAAATGAGATCTTGGTTTTGACTCTCTGAGCCAGAAGCAAAGTTTAAACAGTATAGGTTTTTAAAACTTTTTTTTTCTTATAAGGGAATTTAACTGCTGTTATTTGTAATGTATGGTTTTATTGTACTGAGTACGTAGTTGAGTATAAATGTGTCCGAGTCCATTGCATTACACTGAAATAACAGCTTGTGCTGAACAGAGCGCGGGGCGCCAACAGCGGAGAGTCCGTGGAAAATGTCTGTCGCCCACCGTGTGCCCCCAGGAAGACAGGTGGCCCCTCCTCGGGGTCGGCTTTCTGGGCTCTCGGGAAGGGGCGTGGTCTCATGGGGGCGCCCGAGCCCCCCCGAAAGGCAGCGTGTCCTGGCAGAGGCGCCGTTGACTGACACGCAGGTGGAGCTCTTTGTGCATACATTTACAATATGTACCTCCATTTGGTGTCATGTGTTACATATTAGTTTGCATCTTTCTGTGGGGTACGGGAGAAGGCTGGCTAGTTGGCTGGCTGCCAGAGCTCAAGTGCAATAACTTTTCTGGTTGGTTCTTTTTTTTCCCCACATAAGATGTATTTATTCAGAAGGTGGAGAGGCAAGGAGAGAGAAAGGGAGAGAACTTCCACCTGCTGGTTGACGTACCAAATGGCTGTGATAGTCCGGGCTCGGTTAGGCCAAAGCCGCGGGCCCAGAACTCCATCCGGGTCTCCCACGAAGGTGGGCAGGGACCCAGGCCATCTTGTGTTGCTTTCCCAGATGCATTCATGGGAAGCTGGACCGGAAGGGGAGCAGCCAGGATGCAGTCACTCCTTTATGGGATGCCAGCACCCCAAGCAGCAGCTCAGGCTGTTGTGCCACAACACCATGCACTCTTCATGTTTTATCCCGCCCAAGGTGTTTACCTGCCTGTACTGGCCAGGGAACTCTGGACTTCATCCTCATACAAGCTGGCCCGTTTCTTCCTACCCTGGGCCTGCGGCCAAGGCCGAGTGTATGGAGAGGTGGACACTGACCTTTGCTCCCACAGAAGGGGGTGCCGGGGAGACCTGGGCTGACTGCCCCAAAGCCAGAGAAGTTCAAGTGCCAGGTGTTGCAGAAGCAGGGACGGGGCTGACAGCAGTAGATCTGGTTGGCTGTTGGGCACACCAGCCAGCTGCTTTTGTATCATCATGGGATGGCATAGGCTTTTGTTTCTTGAACATTTAAAGCATACAAAGCTATGGAATTCAGAACTTCCGTGGATTCCGGGTGTCGTTGCCGTCAGCCGTGAGGGTCTGGCCCGAAACAGGGTGGGTTTGTGACACTGCAGCCTCTCTGTATGGCCAGCTTCTAGAATTTTTCCAGTAGCGCACTTGCTGCCCTGACACCCATTCCCTGGGCCTGAGGCAGGGCATCCTTCTCCGGACCAGCAAACGAGCCTGCAGGTACAGTCGCCATGACGTGTGAGTCGGTGCAGTGACCCCTGTTTCCACCGGCTCAGCCACGCGGGGGGGGGTGTCCTCCAGTGTTGGTGGCTCCCAGGCCCAGTGTTAATTAAACATGATACATTGGGGAGGGGGGGCAATGGACCAAACAGAAACAAAACAAAACAGATGTAGGGGAATGAACTTGAAAGAAAAGACAAGTCAGAGAAACAGGAATTAAAAAAAAACCTAAAGGAGAACAAATCCAAAGTGGCATTCCCACCCAACAGTAGGCAGAGACAGTGGTTCCAGGGGGACTGTGTTCAGAGACAAAGTAACAGGATGGCCGATGGGCCAGCTAGAGCAGGAGGGAGGGGCCTGTTGAATATGTGCAGAGTTTAAGTTTTGCAAGTTGAGCAGTTCTGGATGTTGGTCAGAGAAGAATATGAATGTGTCTAACAGCACTGACCTGTCTGCTTAAAGCTGAATCAGACAGCAAGTTGTATGCTGTATTGTATGCTATCACAGTTGAAAAATCAGTGAACGAATAAGTTTTACCTGAAGTTAAAAAATATGATTGGTCGTGGCAACAGCAACAATTACACAAACAAATGAAAAGACAAAGTTAAGGAAATCTACCAGGAAGGCAAAACATTTGATGGGAAAGAGTAAGTTTTTAAAGAGATTGGAGTTTCGGGGGCCGGTGCAGTGGTGTAGCACACTGATACTCCACGTGTGGCTCCAACATCCTATATGGCTGCCAGTTCGAGTCCCAGCTGCTCCGCTTTCAGTCCAGCTGCTTACTACTGCTCTGGGGAAAGCAGCAGAGGATGGCCCAATGTGTGGGCCCCTGGACCCACGTGGAGGACCTAGAAGAGGCTCCTCGCTCTGGGCTGTGAACCAGCAGATGGAAGATTTCTCTCTCTGACTTTCAAGTAAGAGTAAATGAATTTTTTAAAACAGAAAGAACTTAGAGCCTCAGACTCAGAGGTGCGGTATCTAACAGAAGTTCATATAATTAAGAAAGAAAGGGAGGGAAGGAAGAAGGAAAGGAGAGAGGGAGAGCAGCTGGTTTCCAAAGAAGGAACTGAGTCAGCAAATCTATAGGGCTTTCCAAGTGCTTGGCTTTTTATTGAGTGCACAAGGTGCATCTTTAGTACAGGTAAGAAAAAAAAACAAAAACCTTTGGTGCCAGCACTCCGTATGGGCACTGCTTCTAGCCCCAGATGCTCTACTGCTGATCCAGCACCCTGCTGTGGCCTGGGAGCGCAGTGGAGGACGGCCCATTGGCTTGGGATCTTGCCACCCACATGGGAGACCCAGAAGAAGCTCCTGGCTGCTGGCTCCGGATCGACTCAGTTCTGGCTACTGCGGCCACTTGGGGAATGAACAAACTGGATGATAGATCTCTCTGTGTGTCTTCTCTCTTTAACTCTGCTTGTTAAACAAAAATAAGATAAATCTTTAAAAAGAAAGGAAAAAAGCCTGCAAAACCACAGGCCATGCAGCAAAGCCTGTGAGTGAGTGACAGTGGATTCCCAACAAGCTTGGAGGCCAGCAAGCAGCCGGCAGTGGCTCCCACAGATCAGGGAGGCTATACCAGGTTACCCCAGTATATTCATCTGGGGACTTTATACCAAATTATACACCCATGCTCATGATAAAGCCATTTCATCACAAACAGAGTTGGAAAATATTTGTTAGTTGTCTGTGTTTTAGAAAGCCTTGAGAGATTACGCCTCGCTGAAACTAGAGAGCAGGTTGAGCGAGGGGTCCGGAGTTCAGGAAAGGAGGGCCCCAGCACGGAGGCAGGAGGCAGGTGCAGGGAGCTGGAGGGTGCAGGGATCCCACCAGAAGGCGGGCTCCAGAGCAGAAGCACAGCGAGCTGAGGAGCAAGACTGACTGGGAACAGATCAGAGAGCGGGGAGCACTGGGCATCCCTCGGGGGCACCTGGGGCCATCTCGTGTGGGGTCCCAGTTTCCTGCCAGTATGGCCCCTGGGAGACAGCAGTGATGGCCGGAGAAATTGCCTTCCTACCACCCACAGGAGGGAGCTGGATGGAATTCCTGGTTCCTGACTGCTTGTCGCTGGCTGTGGAGGCTGCAGCAGCAGGTGGAAGCGCTTTCTGCGTCTCAGTGTCTCAAATAGATGAAGTAAATACAAATTAGAAGAAAAAAAAAGACTTTGGAAGATTGAGTTGACTACAAAGAAAACTCAATGGAAATAACTAGTCAGTTACCAGCAGGAAAAGTCGTTTTCTTGAGCAAGAAAAAGAAAATAATCAACCACCACTTGATGAGTCAGTGACGAGTGAATATAATTGTTCATCACAGCATCAAGCCTGTTGACTGATTTCATCAAAATTATGCTGGATGATTTTGAAGTGGTGGTGGGTGTAGCAGCTTAGATCTCACACAAAGGAGTCTCCAGAATGTTCTTGTAAATCCGTATTGTGAAAACACTGCTTAGATTCTTTTTTTTTTTTCTTTGCAGCAATGCAAACTTCTCTTTTCATTGCATTTTCCACCAGCTGTTTGAAGTGCCCCCATATTGAATGGAAAGAGGGGGGGTTCACATTTTCATGCAAAAATGAAATATATCCCACTAACATTCTTCTGCTTACAATTTCAGTGGAAGAGCGCAGTTTTGTGGAAAAGCACAGATGGCCGTCGAATCTGTACTTGAAGCAGCTTGCGGAATACAGGAAGTATATTCACTCCCGGAAGTGTCGCTGCCTGATAATGTAACCGGGAGTTTTTTTTTTTTTTTTTTTTTTTACTTTTATTACTGTTAGGAAAAATGGGAACCCACTGAATTCCTGAAAATTCTTACCACGGAAACTAGTGCAGGTGTCCAAAACAAAAATTGCAGAGCTCAGTGCATCTACTAGTTCTCTTTGGAAAAAGAAAAAAAAAAATGATTGTGATCTAAAAGGGAACAGACTGTGCTTAGGGTAGACGCGGCTAAGGCTTCCCAAGCAGCTGTCCATAGGATAACCTGCTTCCCTTAGGGTAACCTGCTGCTCCCCCTCCCAGCTAAGAATTCGTTCTGCCTTTTCTAACTGTCGCATAGGGCTCATTTCAGAAACGCTATCCTATCAGGTTAATTGCTCTATTTAAAAGAAGGATCGTTGCAAGACTCAGCATAACTGAGACTCGTCGAGCCACAGGTGATTTCCAGGGTTTGGAATGTGAAATGTTCGAGTAATCGTCCCGACAATTGTGCATCTCACCCGGACAGGCCAGCCGAATCACCCGCGTGCTCCCAGGGCCGGGGACGAGGCGGGAACCCCGTGCAGGGCTGGCTTGATCAGTGTGCAGCCTGTGGGATCGGGACCGCTCGAGGCCGCACACTTGCTGCAACTCTTGTCACCGGCATTTCAGCATGTTCGTGTTTGAAAAAGGGCCCTCTCCCCCTGCTCCCGCCACCTTCTATGCATCTCTCGGCAGGAAATATTCCATATTTTCTTGTCCCAAGATTGTTTTCCCCTAAAAGTAGGAAAGGGGCCGAGATCAAGGGAAGGTGCCCCCCCTCGGGAACTTCCGCCACCATCAGGGGCAAGAGAAGCATGTGTTGTGTTGTCTTATTTTGAAAATGCTCACAGTCGCTGCTCCATCATGGGTGGACCACAAGGCAAAGGCGCTTTTTAGAGAATGTGCTATGGAAGACTCCAGACTTTTCAAGTATGTTTGCTTACGATTTGGATGTCAGTGGGTTGAATGGTTTTTTGAGCATCACAGTTATTCAATGCGGAATGGCATGAAGCTGTGTTGCAAGGTGGCACAGAAAAAAGAGAGGCTAAAATCAGAGATGTGTTACATGTACAGAGTGGCAGTGGGTAGAGGGCAGTATTCTAGTTTCTCCCAAATCTCCTATATTCAGAAATCATGCTATCAGAAGCCAAGACAGCTAGAGACGGAAATACAGGTTGTTTTCATCTGTAATTCAATATGGAAATGTATTTTTAATTCCCACTGACTTGAAGACATATAGGTTGTCCAGCTTTTCACAGTGTGCGTTAAAAGTTTAATCTTCCAGTATTAGGATCCCATACCCAGTTAGCCTTCCTGTGTATACTGACACTGCTGGAGTTAAACAACGAAGAATCGCCTAGAGCTGTATTCCAGGAGATCTGAGTTTAATCAGCTGTTAGAGAGTACTGGATTGCCTTTTGCTTTTTATGTATTTTAGTGACTTGAGTTAACCAACTGTTGGCAACTCCCATTTGGCTCGCATTAGCTTCGGGAAGATGTACCTACCCATGGTAGTTTCCTAGAACTCCAGTCCCATTCAAGAACTTGGCAAAAGGCAATGCTGGCCATTTGCTCTCTCCACAGCACCTGTTTTCCCCATCTGTATTACAGCATTTGCAGTTCTCAATCAGTCACTCTGACTCTAGGGAATACAAAGCAAAATGTTTTGTAGCAGCAGAGCAAAACATTTTCCTGAAGACATTATGTCATTCTGCTGGAAGGGGACAGTTCTTCCCAGCTGGAAGATGATGCTGTGTGGGCACAGGTGGCCGCTGTGATGCCCGGTCCCCTCCACCTGCGTGAGTGCCTCCAGCCAGCAGTCACCGCTGGCCAGGGCTAGTTGGACCACTTGGCTTGGCCGGCGGGGGTTTAAACCCATGTGGATGGGTGTTGCTTCAGTCCCTTCGAATTAACTTGATTTAAAATAACAAATTTAAAAATATTTACAAGTGGAACGACAAATGCTGGTTTAGAGTTTTGGGGTTTTTTGTAATTGAACCATGACTTTGTGAAGGATGTGTGCTTTCTGCAGATCTCTGCTCTGATTATTTCTCAGCCATTTGTGCTGCGAAAGAGACCGAGGCAGAACGCAGGCCTCTTCCCTCTGGGCCAGCTCTCCCTGTTGAACCCTTTGTATCCATCTGATTATGCCATGTTCCCATCACGGGAGACCTGATTTGTAATCTGGAACTTTCACTGTCCTAACTGGAATGAGCTCTGTCCAAGCCAGCACGAAGGCTTCACACAGCTAGCAGCAGAAGACGGCGAGAGAATCGGCTGAATTGTTCTTCCAAGACAATGAAAGGCAATGTCATCTTAGAAACTACACTACAGTGACACAGCTTATTAGACAAAAAAAAAAAAAAAGGTCCTTCAAGGGTACTTTATTTTATTTAAAATGTCTGTTTAATTCAACCTTTAATAATTTTGGAAAGGGTATGTATGTATTTTAATATAGCCTGACCCAAATTTGTATGTTTTTAGCTTTTAGTATTTAACATTTTGTAACAAATAAACCTTTCTTAAAACAGGTTTAAAGGAAGTGTTCTGTGGTTATTTTGCCTTGGCCATGGAAATGCTGAAATGATCGGAGGAATACTGTCGCCTTTCTCAAGCATAAGTACATTCACATAATTTCCATTGTGTGTAAAATATTAGAATGTTCATATTGGAGATGGCTCATGTGATGAGTTAAATTATGTTACCCTTAGTCCATCAGGGTTCTTCATAGCAAAATTACTCCCTTTATTTAGGAAAAAAGAAATTATTGCAAAGTCAGATATACAGAGAGGAAGATTTACTTCTCAAGTGTCTGCAGTGGCCGGAGCTGAGCCGATCCGAAGCCTGGAGCCAGGAGTCTCCTCTGAGTCTCCCACACATGAGTACAGATTCCCAAGGCCTTGGGCCATCCTCTGCTGCTTTCCCAGGCCACAACCAGGGAGCTGGATGGGAAGCTGGGCTGGAGGGATTAGAACCCATGCCCACAGGGGATCCTGGTGCGTGCAAGGCGAGGACTTGAGCAGATATGTTACTGCGCTGGGCCAAGAAAAAAAATTTTTAAAGATTGATATATTTATTTGAATAAAAACTTACAGAGAAGAGAGAGAGAGAGATCTGCTAACTGCTGCTTTACTCACCAGGTGGCCACACTGGCCAGGACTGGGCCAGGTCTTAAACAGGAGCTTCATTCGGGTCTTCCACATGGGTGGCTGAGGCCCAGGCCATCAACAAGCAGGGAGCTGGGTCAGCCATGGACCATCATCAGGACAAGAAGTGACCGGCACCGCAGAGGGTGAGCTTTCCCCACAGTGCAACAACACAGGGCCCTGGAAGAACATTTTGATAGTTATTTGAGAGGTAAAAAGACAGAGCTGTCCTCTCCCAGGGTGCTTGGGGCCAGTTCATGCCGAAGCTGGAGGCTGGGAACCCAACCCAGGTGTGCACCTGGCAGCAGGGACCCAATGATGCGAGCTGGGCTGAAACTGGGAGCAGAACCAGGACCGCAGGCACTGAGTCGACTCTCCAGCACAGGAACCCGGAGGCCAAACGCCTGCCCCGCTCTGGTAATTGTTTATGGAAGTAAGGCCACTGCCAAGAGTGTGAAGTGCTAAAGCCACTCCGCCTAATGGAGGGATAAGAATCTGAAGCTCCCGCAAGGGCTTAGGGGCCCACGTGGGAGGGGAGAGGCCAGACAGCAGCGACCAGGCCGATTACACACCACGGCAAGCGTGTGTTGGGCGTTCGGACTGCCCTGCGCCAAAAATAAACGTCTTTTCCATTTTAACACGAACAGTTTGGAGTATCCTTAGTAAGGGAGTTGTCAGCAGGCTTTCTAAGCTCCTCAGGGACCTCATCTCAAGTTACACTCCCAAGGAGGGAGTGGTGGCGCCCTCTGGGGGTGGTTCCTGTTATTTCAAGACCTGTGGGTGAGGGTTCGGTTCCACCGGCTCTGAGGATTAGCAGCTCCGCAGCAGCTAGGGGGCCACGGAGGGAACCACGGCTCATGTTGCAAGTGCTATGATACCTGAGTGTGCTCGATGCCACACACAGCTCCTACAACCGCAAACACCAGGCCATACGAGGAGTTACAAAGGGGCTGTGGCTGGAGTCCAGGGGATCTCTACTGCCCGGGAAAACCCTGCTCCTTGTATGTGAGAAGGCACGTCCCCTTCCACTATATCTCCCACAGACCTTCAAGCACCGTGCAGAGATAGGCCACTCCAAGGGACCCAGCACTCAGCTAGAGCGTGTTCCGGTGATGTCTCCATTTAACATTTGCCACGTGTGCTTGCAATTCCCCACTCGATCCTGAATTCCTCCTCAACCCAGGTACCAACTGCCACCAACCCAAATCTGAACAAGGCACACAACCTTCCTGGAAGAAACCCCTGCTGCTCTGGCTGGGCCTTGGCGGTCATCGCTGCCAGCAAGCCAGCTCTGTCCTTTGTCCCTGGCCGCTCCCCTGCAGGCAGAGCAGGGTGCCCTCTGCTGTACCCTGGGATGCCCGTCAGATAGGCTGCAAGCTGTCCATATGCCTTGGGCTTCTCCTCCGCCTTGGGTTGTATGGCTCCTGCATGCTCACACTCCTGGATACCCTGCATCACGCATGGCATTCCTGTCCTTCCAGGAGGTGTGCTGCTAGGCCCTGCCGCTCCTGGGCCCAGCATTCCTACCACTTCCACCATCTGTACAACCTTTGCACCCTGGACTCAAGTCCCTCTCCTGTCTGCCTGGAAGTTTCTCTAGCTCCCCATCCCACCTCTATTTTTCTGCTAGCACTTCACAACTATTGGACTAAAAGACAAAGTCCTTCCCCTAACCCTGCTGCTGGAGCAGCCAGGGAAGACCTGAGAATTCTGTCTCTCTCTCAAGATGTTTTTATTGGAAAGGCAAATTTATAGAGAGAAGGAGACAAAGATCCTATATCCACTGGTTCACAGGAGCTGAGCTTCTGAGCTAAGCCAATCCAAAGCCTGGAACCAGAAGCTTCTTCTGGGGCTCCCACAGGAATGCAGGAGTCCAAGGACCTAAGCTATCCTATGCCACTCCCCTGCCTGGCCACAAACAGGAACTGGATGGGAAGTGGAGCAGCCAGGACTAGAACTGGCACCCATATGGGACATTGGCACTGCAAGTCAAAGAACTAACTTGTTGAGCCACTCCGCTGGCCCCTGAGGTTTCTCTTGACCAAGAGGTGGTGGCTGGACCCCCTGCAACCCTCCCCTCCTGCCTTTGTTCACTGTCTCCTCCTGGGTGCAGGGTGGCTCAGGGCTCCCACTGGGCACACTAGGTCTTTGGCTCGCTGCTCAGCTGATGGGGCAAGGCTTGGCTTCTCATGGAATTACAGTTGGATTCTGAGAGGACTTAGACCCGTCTGTGTGCATGCTTGAATAGGGGGTTTGAACAGGAAATTTGATTTCCTCAGTTTTTATTTCAACGACAGGGTTTGCTAGTATTTCAGAACATACTCTCACTCCCCACCCATCCAAGTTCATTTTATTTTCTGATTAAAAAAAAAAAGTTGGCATTTGGTCCCCTGCCTGCGTGCTGCATTGGAGTCCCTGGTTCGAGTCCTGGCTCCATGGCTTCTGCTCTTTCTGTGGGTACTCACCCTGGGGGCAACAGAAGATGGCTCAAGCGTTTCGATTCTTGGCACCCAGAAACAAGTGCAGTGTCTGCAGGCTCATTGTCATAAAATTAAAATTTGGTGGTGCAATGGAAAGCACCCTAGAAACCCTGCCCCATGTGGCCTGGGCCCCAAGCCAACTGTGGTTCTGTCCCCTGGGGTGGAAGATGAGCAGGGTTGGCTTTGTCAGTTTGCAGTGACTTCCCTCTGAGGTGGGAATGGCTGCTGACGCCCTGAGGGTGGAATGGGTGCTATGGAACCCCAGTGGGTGGGAAGGCCGGGGACAGTGCTGGATGCCCCGGCTCCTCAGTCCGCAGTGCTGACAGTTGGGGCCCAGGGAGCCTGGGCAGGGGACGGCACTGTCGGGGAGAGAGAAAGCTGCACCCACTGGGGGCCTCCAGGAGCAGAGCCTGCAAGGAGGGGCAGGTGTCAAGTCAGGAGAACTCAAGGACACCCCAGGGATAAGTTGGGGAGATCTCACAGGCACAGCTGTTTTTGTGTGGACCTCGTAGCTTAACAAGGCCTGAGAAAATGGACCTACTCATTCTTAATTCACC